AAAAAAAAAAAAAAAAAACTACATCTATGGGAATTATTCTATTTTCCAATATGAGAGCTTTCAAGAAGACTCATTAGTAGTGACTTACAATGAATATACAGAAACCCTACCAAAATGGGCATTTGTGATGGCTTATTAAATATTTAAAGTAAGGCTATTTAAATGAAATAAAAATATAATGAATAAAAACAAAGTAGAAAACCAAGGCCAGAAAAAAAGGGGAGAAATCCATTATATTAACCATGAGGACTAATACCTACGTATAGTGGTTAAGTATTTAATTAATCTTTGAGCTTATCGAGAGCAGTAAGACAAAAGAAAAACATAATGGGCTAGCAAATTCTCAAAATCTGATAAAATATACCAATTTGTTAAGAGACAGTATTCCTAGTTTTAATCCCAAGAGAAAATTAAAGCATGGGGCCTTAGAAAGTTGACAATGAGCAAGGTAACAAATAACCCCACCATCTACAATGATGTTACAGCAGAAAAGAACTAAAGCCACAGAAATATCACTTATCTAACACTGTCAAAACCCAAGAATAGATCATTAAATTCTAACTCACTGGAGAGGATTCTGAGAGTTGTTAAGAGAAAGTGGCCTGGATACATGGCTCTTTGATCTAACCCTGTGCACAGAAAGAACATGTATCGCCTAAGGCAGTATGTAATGAAATGTGAGCCACCTGAATCAACAATTAGCTGGGGTATTTGTTAAATGCTGACTCCTAGGTTTCAGTGTCTGAAAAAAAGTTCTAAAATAAATCTTAAAGTAATATTTCTCGCTTAAAAATAAAAAAGGACCTATTCAAAATAACAACTATTAAATATTTAAGAATAACCTCAATAAGAAACATGTAGGACCACCACGAAAAATACTCTAAACTTTTTCAGTAAATGGAGATTTTTTTAGTAAGCTTTTTAATAAACGGAAATATACCAGATCCATGGGTTGAAGACTAAATAAATATTTTAAAGATGTTCAATTCATGCCCTTCTCTTTATTGGGAATGGTTCCAGCATTTCATCATTAAGTATGATGTTGCCTACTGCTTTCTGACATTCACTGTGTTAAGAAAGTATTCTATTCCTCAATTTCTAAAAATCTAAAATCAATAAATGGTGGGCATGCGTATTACCTTTGTTGAGCTTTGGTTTCAGAGTTACCGTTCTAATATAAACTGGAACACTTTCCATAATTTTAAGCTCTAGAATGGTTTATATAGAACTGGACTTATTTGCTTCAGGTCATTTTTATAAAGGGACACTTTTTATGTATGTATAACATTCCACTGTTTTACTGTAATAGTGATTTTTTTCCATTCTTATTGTCTCCATTGTATAAATGAGCTAAAAAAGATGTCAAAAAGCTTGTTCAATACTTTCTAGCTTTGTTCGTTAAAAAAAATTAAAACTTTCCAATTATAGTATGTGTATAAATTATACTTTAAGGTGTATTAATTCCTAAACAAAGCAAGTTTGAATTTATAATGTCTGCCAAAAATTTTTTTCCAGAAATTTTATAGCCATAACCACAACTAAATTCTTTTTTTTGTTTTTTTTTTTTTTGCGGTACGCAGGCCTCTCACTGCTATGGCCTCTCCCGCTGCAGAGCACAGGTTCCGGACGCGCAGGCTCAGCGGCCATGGCCCACGGGCCCAGCCGCTCCGCGGCACGTGGGATCCTCCCGGAACGGGGCACGAACCCGTGTCCCCTGCATCGGCAGGCGGACTCTCAACCACTGTGCCACCAGGGAAGCCCCACCACAACTAAATTCTAATGGAGAATTCCTTCCTTTAGAACATTTATAGTACTATCCATACCTCAAAAAACAATAGTGTCAATATCATTTTCTAACAAGTACAGCTATATTAAAAACAAAGTATGTGTTTTAATACTACCCATTACTAGTTGTTTCTTTTCTCAAGAAGATTTTAGTTCACCACAATTACAAACATGAAACACCCCTATTTTAAATTCCATTATTGCTTCTTGATCAATAATTACCATTCATTTTATTTCTGGTATATATTACTCCCAGATCTGCTGGAATGGAGTCAAAGCCACTGCTTCCAATGATATAAGCCCCTTTTTCTGCAGCTTTCTCATGATACTTCCAATACATTAGTTCCAGAAACTAAAGATTCAAGACAAAAGATCTGAATCAGAGCTACGGAGAAACATCTAGACCAAAATTAAATGATTTACCTTTAAAAACAAAGCAATTAACCGGTGAAAATGCTAACCAAGATGGCTCTGCAGCAAAATATTAACTGTCAAATAGTTGGCACTTACTCAGCAAACATACCTACTATGTTCCAGGTGGTGTGAGAGGTATGCAGATCTGACTTAATTCGTTTTTTAGAATGACTTTTAAATGCAAAAGCAATACCTATTATGAAAAATTAATATAGAAAAATACAAAGAAAACAAAAAAAGTTACCCCGAATCACATCTTCCAGATGAACATCATTACAGACATATATCTGTGCACATATGTAAGTAGAAAGAGTGGTAGGAAAGGAGGGAACGCAAGAAGGGAATAATGTCTGTTCAAATTCTTTGCCCGATTTTTTTAAAAAACAGTTTTAGATTTACAGAAAAAAACTGAGTACTAGAGAGTTCCTAGGTACTCCACACTCAGTTAACCTTATCATTACATCTTTTACATTAACATTTATTATAATTAATGAACCAATACTGATACATTATTACTAACTAAAGTCCCTATTTTGTTCAGGTTTCCTCAGTTTTTATCTCATGTCCTTCTTCTGCCCAGGATCCCATCCAGGATACCACACTACATTTAGTTGTCATGCCTCCTTAGGCTCCGCTGGCTGTGATGGTTTCTCAGACTTTCCTGGGTTTTGATGACCTTTACAGTAGTGGTCAGGTACTTTGTAGAATGCCCCTCTATTGGAAATTATCGCATGATTTTCTCATGACTACACTAGAGTTACAGGTTTTGGGGAGGAAGACGGGGTAAAGTGCCATTTCCTGATGTCATATCAAGAGTACATACTATCTCACAGACATAGAAAATAAATTTACGGTTACCAAAGTGGGAGGGAGGGAGAGATGGATAAATTAGGAGTATGGGATTAAAAGATACACACCACTATGTATAAAATAGATAAACAACAAGGATTTACTGTATAGCACAGGGAACTATATTCAGTATCTTGTAATACCCTATAATGGAAAAAGATCTGAAAAAAATATATATATAGCTGAAACACTTTGCTGTACATCTGAAACTAACACAATACTGTAAATCATTAAAAAAAAAAAGAGTACATACTATCAACATAATTTCTCACTGGTGATGCTGACCCTGAACACCTGGCTGAGGCGGCGTTTGTCTGGTGTCTCCACTGTAAAGTTCTTCTCCCCCCCCTTCCATACTGTACTCACTGGAAGGCAGTGACTGTGCAGCCCACACACAAAGAGGGAGGAGTGAAGATCCCCCTCCTCGAGGGCACAGTAGTTATGTGAATTATGTGGAATTCTGCACAGGCGATTTGCCTCTTTTCTTCCCTTTGCCCATTTTAAATTGGGTTATTTAAATTTGTATTTTTGACTTATATATATTCTGGCTCATAACTAGGTTTTGATGCCACGTTCATGGTACTTTATAAGATAACTTAGAAGCTTTCCACCATTTTCTCTGCTCTAGAATATTTTAAATAAGATAGGAATCAGTTTCTTTTACATTCATATTTCCTACCTCTTCTTTTATCAGTCTTGGCAATTTACACTTTCTTAACACTTCCCAATATACATCACCAACTGATAAGCTCTAAGTATGTATATACTGGCACACTGATGATGGTACTCAGCAGAGACTATAGGGACATATGAGGTTACAGTTATAAAGGAGCTAGTGTAGTTCAGTGCTTATTAACACTCCACTTCCTGCAGTGTTAACTCAGGCAAACCTCAATGCAAGTCCTAGTTTTTCTACTTAATGGTTGCATGACTCTGCGCAAGTTTTATTTTAATTAATTCTGTTTACAGCATGCAGGAGCAATAAAAATCAACACATCCTATACACAAAGGCCATGGAAGAAATCAGGATGTAGGGAAGAAAAATTCAAGAAAACTGAAGCTAAGACCTTACCATCATGCTCTCTTTCAAGCTTTCAATGAAATACCATCTCTAAATGCTACCGAGTCATCACCTTCTAAAATCTGTCTGCAAAATTACACTAAATATTTTTCACTTTAACAGAAAGTTGTATTGTTAATTTTGTTCCTTCTTTTCCATTTTACATACCTGAGGTTCTCCACAGATGTCAATACAGCTAGTTCCATTTTCAACACATGCTTTTACTACAGGTTCTCCATAAAATCGGTACTGGGAGAATAAAGAAAACCAACAGTTTATTCTTACTTAGCAAGTTTAAATGAAGGAATACCACTGAGTGTTGGAAGTACAGTCTTCACTCTTAAGAAATCAAATATTAATAAAGTAGCCTAATGAGAAAATGAGAAAATAATGTAACTGCAATTTACTGACTCTCACAGTGTAAATAAAAGCATGATGGAATTACCTCTAATTGAAGACAATGTCGGAAGTTTTATAAAAGAAGTGACTCATTTGAGTTGAATTCTGAAGAACAGTAAGGATTTGCCAGGAAAAAGAAAATCCAAATAAAGGAAAAATGATATGTAAAAGTGTAAAAAAGGGTGATGCTCAGGATACCTGAAGCACAGAGTAGTGGAGAGGGAAGTGGTAAGAGATGAGTCTGGAAAGAAACACTTGGGCCAGATCAGGAACGACCCTGGGTGCCATGTTATCAAGATTGAACTTTATCTTTTCTGCATTGCTGAGCCCTCCTAGAGTATTTTAAACAGGACAGTGGTGGAACGTTTATAACACAGACATATCACTCTGCCTGTGGTATTGGAAAACAAAACTCACGGCAGGTAAGAAATGAAGGACAAAACTAAGGAAGCGGAAGGATATACTAAGAGTGAGATATACTTAAAAGACAGAAATGACTGGACTTCCTGATTAGCTGGACATGGGAACCAACAACTAATGGCAGTATTAGCAAAATAAAGAAAGGACAAAGAGGTTTGGAGGGGATAAGTTTAATATTGTACAAAGTAGCTATTCTGAGCCTGTATGATTTTGGATCTCCCAAACTATTTGTTGCTCCAACTCAAGGAATTAAAATTTTAAAAATTTTATATAACAGTTAATACATCAGAGTCAGTCCCATTTCAAAGGAAGCATGACGAATTTTCCCTTTGTGAGGGAAGGGTAAGCGGAAGCATAAACTCCTCTGCTCCTCTCATTCCTCACAGCAAAAGATGGAGAAAGGAGATGGTCTGCTTCTTCCAGCCTTCAAGAAACAGGTAAACAGACACTTAAGAGAAAAGACAGGGCGCTACAGGGATTGCCCTTTTCAAGTGGGTCACTTAGGCTCCTCTCTACCTGACTCCACAGCCTCATCTCCACATCCTCCTCCCCCTTCTTAAAAACAGCAAATGACACTGGAATTACAGGACTAGAAAAGTGTGTTTAAGTTCTAGTTCATCCTCTGCTATTCATCAACCATGCAAAATTACTAAAAGCACTTAACTTCTGAGGCAACGTAGTACAACAGAACAAACAAGGGCTTTCAAGGCAGCAGGACCCAAGTTCACATTCTAAATCCATCATCTACTAAATTGTATGAATTTATTTACAAATGACATATATGGACTACTATACTAATAAAATATACACTTTAAGCATATATAAAATGGACATAAAGTTGAAATTAAAATGAGTACAAGTCAAAGCTCTATTTTCTTTCTGTACCCAATGGATAATCTTGGGTAATCTTTACACATACCCATTTGAAACTCACTTAGCAATTTCCTTGGCCTCCTGGTTATTTTACCCCCGAATACCTCAAGTTGTCCTGTAGTTCACCTGGGTCAGAATCAGCTGGGTCGCTCGTTAAACATGCTGATTACTCAGTCCCACCCCAACTCCCTCCAGTAATAAGTTTTCTGGGGTAGACTGCAGTAACGTGCATTTTAAATGAGCCTCACTGGTGACTCTTACGTACGTTAGAGGTGGAGAATCACGTCCCTGGACATTCTCCCTGGAAAATCTCACCAACTTTCTGGATTTCAACTACAACATGTATGCTGATGACGTCCAACTCCTATCTCCAGAGCTGCTCACTGATGAGGCTGCCTCATCTGTGGCTTCTGTTATAAACTTCAGAACCCGCAAGAGCACAGGACATGGGGCAAAACGAATTTCACTTTGGCTTCTTTTTCTCTCCTCTATTTCCTCTTCACCCTGACTTCCTCACTTGCTTAAAAAAATAATTCCACTATATAGTACGCATTTCCTGTCTTAATTCAAAAATATCTGGCAGACACCTCAGTTTCAACACATCCAAAATCAGATTCATCATCTTTCTCTCAACAGCAGTTTTTCCCCCTCCACTTCCTAGCACAGGAGACAATAAAAAATAATGCTTAAAAGTATTCATTCAGTCATTTTCTGTATATTTTGACATACACTTGTTTACATATGCCTGACTAGTTTTACAGCTATCATTTAGCTCTCACTAAAGAGACCCTCACAAAATAGAGAAACGGGTAAAAAAAATACCTTCAAAGAAAAAAATTATGACACCAAAACTGGTAAACTGCAGTCTACCCCTGGGAGTATAATCCATATTACAAAGTGAAAACGACCTTCCAAGTAGAGCTTAGGAAGGAGCATGTTTTGGGGGCAAAAAGCTAGAGATGCCTATAAACCATCCAACTGGAAACATCCAGAAGGTAATTGGATCCACCAGTCTGGAGCTTAAGGGGTAGCTCCTCAGTGGAAATAAATTAATGTAGGCACATCATCAGGAAACAGACGGTATTGAAAGCCATGGCTTTCAATTCTTTCTGACTACAACCCACCCTAAGAAATTCATTTCACATAGTAGCTCCACACACAAATATATCTGACACAAAACCTTCATGAACCAGTACGTACCTGTATTATGTGTAATTCACCCTATTTTCTATTTCAGTCTATCTGATTTTTCTTTTCAATGCCTAGTCTTAACCTACTGAACTGATTTCACAAAGTTTAAAAAGTACTGGCCCAGTTACAGTTTCTGTCTGGGATGGTGAAAACGTTCTGGAAATAAAGAGGTGACAGTTATATAAGATTGTGAATGTACTTAATGTCATTGAAGTGTATACTTAAAAATGGTTAAAATGCTAAATTTTATGTTATGTATATTTTACCACAATAATAATAATATTAAAAAATGGTCCAGGGAATATAAACAGAAAAGAGTTTCTAAGGCTTAAGCTCTGAGACCTCTGGCATTCACAGGAGGATAAAAAGATCCAGCAGAGGAGACGGAGAAAAAGCTGGTAGAGAAAAAGAAAACTAGGAGAGGGCAAGAATTCAGATACCAAGTGAAGAAAGGAAAAAGTGATTGACTGTCACAAATGCTGAGAGGTCTGATTAAGATGAGGACAGAGAACTGATGATTGGATCTGACAGGACGGGGATGCTGGCAGAGTAGTTTCGTTTAAGGAGTATGGATAAAAGCCTGACAAGACTAGATAGAGGAGGAGGTGAGGGAGTGGAGACAGTAAGGAAGGCAAACTTTCAAGTTTTGCTAAAAAGGGGCATAGAAAAATGGGAGTAGTTAGAGGAGCATGCAGAATTCAGAGAAGTTTTTCTTTAAATGGGAGATATAATCCCATATTTGTATGTGGAGAGAAATAATCCAATCAAGAGGCAAAATTTGATGAGAATAAGAATATGTGTAACTGTAAACCTGTAAATATAAAGTCTTTGAATACCGTGTCCATGAGAAGCAGGGGTAGTTTTTCCCTGTAAAAGGAGATAAGGCAGAGTCAGGATACAATGCAGATAGGAAGATCTGGTGGTATAAATTCTCTTCTGACAGCTTGTATGCTCATAGTTAAAAAAAAAAAAGGAAAGAAAGAAAGGAAGGGAGGGAGCGAGAAAGGAAAGAAGGAAGGAAGGAAGAAAATCACAAGGTAAGAGTGAGGAAAAAGGAAGAAAGGGGTGGGATGCTAAAAGTATGAGAAAAAAGAAGCTATAAAACTGCTGCTTCAGTGAGTAGGAGAGAAAATAGCCTAGGAAAATAGATTAGAATTGCTGGAGGTACTGAGGCTGCATGTGAGGTTTGTAACCACATATTTAAAGTGGGAATAGTCAGCATCGGGATGCATTTTTCTCCAGCCACACTGGGTTACACATGTTCAGGCAGAGTAAGCAGCAAGCTGGAATAACCAGGGCTGGGGTTTCTCCAGAGTACTTCGGAGGGAGGGACAAGCTGGCTCAGGATGTATATAAGACAGTGATTCAAGCAACGAACCACAGACCACATTCTAAACTAGTTAATGAAATAAATTGAAATAAACAATAGAAATACATTTCATTTGGTGACAATCAAAAACCTTTCTGGTTTCATTTGATGAAATTATCAACAATTTTCTAGATGCTTAGTTTTCAAATGTTTTGACAATTGAGAAAGCTTCCTCAGATCCATAAATGTCACCAAAATTCATCCTGTTACACAGACCACAAGTGTCTCTTTCACATCCAGTAGAATAGCAGCAGCTAGAGGTTCTCCTTTCAAAATATCCTCTTTCAACCACTTCTCATCACCTCTAACACTCCTACCCTATGATTGGCTTGCTTGGCCCATTCCACTGTTGGTTCCCTACCACCTATTTTTCCTCTCAGAAGACAAAGAACTTCAAATACGTAAATCAAATCATGCCCTTGCTTTTAACCATTCAATAGCTCTTTCATATTTAGAAGGAAACCCAAACCCTGATCTTGACCTTGCAGACCTAACCACCTAGTTCCTAGGTACCTCTCCAATCTAACTCCCCACCTCTCTGCCCTGCTCACGCCCAACCACACTGGCCTCTCTCACATCCCTCAGTCAGGCCAAGCACATGCTCATCTCAGGACCTTTGGATTTGCTCTTTCCTGGAACACCCTCTCCTCAAATACTCACAGGATTTACTCCCTCACTGCATTCAGGTCCCTATGCAAATTTCAGTTCGTCACAGAGACCTTCCCTGACCATCCATCTAATAGAGACTGGTGTGCCAATCTTTTTATCTCCCTTCCCTGTTTTTTCTTCAAAGCACCTGTCACTTACTACTATAACATTATTTTTCTGTCTCCCCACTGGACTGTAAGCTCCATGAGGGGTTTTCTGTTTTATTCACCATTATGTCTGTAGACTAGTTCAGTGTACATATAATAAACACTCAATAAACATTTATTGAATAAATGAATGAATCCTTTTTTAATATCTTTCTTTGTACATGCACTAATATATGTACTGGTACAATAATACAGAATGTAATTTAAAAACAAATAAAAAGTAAATTATGGGTACATGCTCAAACTTTTTTAGTTAAGGGGCATGCAGCACAAAAAAAAGTTTGGCAATTATAGCTGTAACCACTAAATAAACCAGCACACATTCCTGGAGTCTAGTGTCACTCTCTCTCTCAGGAGACTCTGGTCATATCCATTTGCTTCTCATGAGAAGTAAAAACTCCCCATACGGGGTTAAGGCCCTGAATCAATTCTTCTGTCCCCTGCCCTTATGTTTCTCTGGAATATAAAATACCAGATTCTGCTAGAAATGAATAGATTTTTTGTTCTGATTCAAAGAAGGGCAGATTACTTACTGGTCCTACACAGTTGAGGACAACTGTTGCCTGTTTAGCCATTTCATCAAGTGAGGCTGGATTAGTGATATCACAAATTATTATTCCAACTTCAGATGACAGTGTCGGCCTTCCTAAAATAAGAAATAAATTGTTTTAAGCAAATCCCGATACAGTATTAGATCACCCAGCCCTTCTTTTCATAATAACCACTGACAGCAAATTTACTAAATATACTAAAAGCTAATTCTCCCTCTCAAACAAAAGATAAAACTGTTTTTAACCAGGTAATTAAAAATAAGGAAAAGACTATGAGGAAAATGGAGTTAAAACTAAGAGTTAATAAAACACATTACTAACCTTTAAAAGAAAATCTAAGATAAGGAATGTGTAAATGACAACTCTATGCAAAATGCCAATTTTTCAGATACCGAGATGATTTTCCTGACCTCTTCTCCAGGAAGAATTATGCTATTATACTATAAAAGCAGTTTCTCATCAACGATTAAACAACTACATATGATAAAATTATGAGGAGGGGAGTTAACATCAACATAATGAAACAAAAGAGGACTGAGGTAAAAAACAGTCTAGGGAAGAACACTCAAGTTCATAATAAGGAAATAACTGGAATAAACTGAATCAATAGAGTAACGCAGGTTTCATGGCTCAAGGTGTATATCCTGCAATAACCTGATCTGGGCACTACAAATGGTAGGCAACTACGCTATACCTGTACAGTCTCGTTGAACAGAAAAGAAGAAAGGGAAGCATGTATTTTAGTCGTGAGAGTATTTCTCTTGGAAAAGTAAAGAAAGACCAAAAAGCTTTTTGGTCAAGATTCTGTACTTGGGAGTGGCAGCAGGAGAGCTGTAGGAGAGTCCAGCCTACTTGGTATCTTCTGTACCAACCACAAACAAAACAGGTTCCAAAAACAGGGCTCTGTGTCGAATTATCTGAGATGAAGGTGAAGGGGAAGAACAAAGTATGCCCGAAACTCTTATAGGTGCTATCTGTCTGTATGACAGGGCAGTAGGGTGGAAAACTGACAGCCAAAGTTAAAGGCGACCGACTCCTAACTTAAGATGTTCTCACCACGGGGAACATGGGTAGGGTCTCTGCGTGTGTGTGTGTGTGTGTGTCTCTCTCCGCCACATCTGTATCCCCAGCATTTAGACTAGCACCTGACATTAAAAAGACCACTCAACAAAAACAGGCTGAATGAATGCCGAAAGAGTAAGTAAACTGCCGAAACAAAAACACCAAAAAAATTTTTTGGATGAAGAGTACGACTGCTGGAGAATGCTTACAAGTAAAAATTAAATTAAAAAGTAAAGCCACAGCAACGTTCTCCGTAAAACTCCTAAGCTTCCTCTCCCATCTCCAAAACACAAGGCAAAGGGAGAACACAAGGCAAAGGGAGAGCACAAACCATCCTGAAGGAACCAGTGCTCTACTTTTGTACCCGATCAAACATCAAGAGACTTCCAGGCCCACCAGGTTACCCCCGCCCCCCCGCTCTAGAAGGGGACGGAGCAGAGAAAGGAAAAACTAAAGTTCCTATTTCGCCAGTGGGGATTCCCTAACTATGGGAGAAATTCAAGGGGCGGGGGATGTCTCTCTCTCTCTCTCTTTTTTGTTTAGGGAACGGAATGAAGCTCTGACGTTATCAGGAGCCCCGTGCTCCTCCTCCTGGCCGCTAACAGGGTCGGGGAGCTCGAGGGGCACCCAGGGAGAGAACCTCTCATTTCAGGCGACTGAAACCCCTCAGCCGGGAGAAGGGGGCTTGGGGATGAGAGCCGCGGCGGTGGGGCCGAGACCGGGGTCCCGGGGCCCCGTCCCAGTCGCCCCCTTTACCCAGCTTCATGGCAGCCCTGTCCAGGACTCGCTGCAGCTTCTCCCGAGAAACGAACTGGCCGGTAAAGCCAGAGGCGCCGAACACCACCAGGTGGAAAGGCCTCTGCTGGGTCGCCATTACGAGCCCACGGCGATGCAAGGACCAGGACGGGATGAGTCCACGGCGCCTGCGCCTCAAGCAGCGACCCCAGGACCCGGCGCAGCAACCGCCTCCTCCGCGGCCACTGCGGTCTCCACTGCCTGCGCGCCGCGTTCCCGAAGGCCCGCGCGCGCCTCTGCGCCAAGGCCCCGCCCACACCGCATTTGCCGACGGCGCCACTACGCCTCCTCCTCCTCTGGGGTGGGCGCCGCGCCGCTGCTGTCTGCCCTGGCTCGCGAGGCCTGTGTGCTTGCGGGGCTGGCGGTAGCAGGCGGCGGCCCCTCCTCCGCCCCGTTGTTGGTCCTGCATAGGTCTGATTGCCCCAGGCGTCGTATCTTTTCGCTCTCCCGAAGGTTGTAGGGAGCTACGCAAAGAGAGAGCTCGCGAAAACCTTCTGACGGCTGAGAGCATTTCCCGCGCCGAAACCCCCCCACACACACCTTTTTTTTTTTTTTTTTTTTTTCGAAGCACGTTGTCCAAGAGGGTGTCTGCGGAGCCAGATGGAGGGTGGACACGGAGTCTGGGGTCCGCTTTCTGTCTTAGGCCCCGCCTCCACCGCTTCGGTGCCCGTCGTCTCCGGGACCCCCTTGGTGATGAAGCACAGAGTTAATGGTGAACCTCAGCCGGAAAGAAACTCCCAGAATTGTCGTGCCTTTTGAGCTGTGAGGTAAAGGTGAATGGTGGTTCAGGACGTCCTCGAAATGCAGAAGAAATCAAAAGTTTCTTGAGCTGTCGTTATTTATATAGTCAAAAACGTTTTAATATAAATAAATGAATAAGTGAATACATAAATAAATGGGGGAGAAGAGACACATCTCCCAGTACAGAGGCATTCCAAATAATTTGTCATTACGACCTTCTCCAGAAGAGTTTAACTCCCTCCCCTTTGAATATAGGCTTTGCTTAGTGACATGCTTTAAAGAGAAGAATGTGGAAAGGGGGAGGAGGGGTGGGAAAGAGAAACCAGGTAAAAATTACCCTGGCCAAATGGTCAAGGTTAACATCATCAATACACCATGTTGATAGCACACATCCTTAATATGATGTGATAAGGATGATAGATACTTCATCTCTGTCGGGTCCCTCCCCCAAACCCATAACCTCATTCTAACCATGTGGAATATTCTAGAAGATACCTGCCCAATACTCCCCAAAATGTCAAAGTCATGAAAAAACAAGGGTGGTAGGAGAAACTGTCAGTAACTAAAGGAGCCTAAAGGGACATGATGACTAAATGTAATGTGGTATCCTGGATGGGACCCTGGAACAGAAAAAGGACATGAAAGAAATCCTAGTGAAATCCAAATAAAGTGTGTTTAGCTAGTCACAATGCACCAATATTGGTTTCTTAGTTGTGACAAAGGTACCAAAGAAGGGTTAAATGTTAACAGTAGGGAAGACTGGTGAGGGGTATAGAGAATGCTCTGTACTATCTTTAACTTTTCTGTAAATCTAAAACGATTGTCAAATTTAACATGTAATTTTTTTTTAATAATAGGAGTGATTTTAAGACAGTTTATTTTATTTATTTATTTATCTATGGCAGCGTTGGGTCTTCATTGCTGCATGCGTGCTTTCTCTAGTTGCAGTGAGCGGGGGCTACTCTTCGTTGAGGAGCGGGGGCTACTCTTCGTTGAGGTGCGCGGGCTTCTCATTGCAGTGGCTTCTCTTTGTCGCATGAGCTCTAGGTGCAGGGGCTTCAGTAGTTGTGGCTCGCTGGCTCTAGAGAGCAGGCTCAGTAGTTGGGGCACACGGGCTTAGTTGCTCCACGGCATGTGGGATCTTCCCGAGCCAGGGCTCGAACCTGTGTCCCCTGCATTGGCAGACAGATTCTTAACCACTGTGCCACCAGGGAAGCCCCAACATATAATTTAAAAAGAATTTTGTGCATTTGTATCAGTTGCGTATAAATATGTCATCTCATTTAATGCTATTCATCAGGCATTTCCAGAGAGCTTATGTTTGTCAAACTCTGAAATAGATCCTGGGAATACAGTGATTCCCTAATTGGGGGATAAATAGTTTAATTGCAGTACACGTGGCAAATGAAGGGCAGAAGAAACAAGACAAGCTTGTGCTAGGTTACATGCTGTTGATGATGCCCAGCTATGCCAGGGACCCCTGCGTGTGCAGTCATGGGTACAGTTCGCTGAAGACGGAATCTTCCAAGGGAACTTGACTTTGATTTCAATTAGTAGAGCTTAGATATAGAAGGACTGAGAGAAGGACAGGTGTTTGTTTATTCATCCAATAAACATTCAGTGTGTGTGTCATATGTACCAGATCCAGAAGCCAGAGCCATATTTTGAAGTAAAGTTATATTAATAACCCTCATTAAAATATGAATAGATGGATGCTTTTTAAATCATGAAATATATTAATCATACAAAAATGGTAAAGCCAATAACAAATATGTACCCACCACACAACTTAAGAAAACTATTCCATGGAGTGAGGCTTCTGGGTACCCATCCCTGAACACATTTCCTTCCCTACCCCCTAGGTGGCCACTTGCCCCAGTTTGGGTTTATCATTCTTGTACATGTCTCCTTGAGCACATGTGCAAGGGAATATTTTAATACATATCTAGGAATCAAAATAGTCCTAGAATATGCACATTTGAGATGTAATCAAACTGCTTTCCAGAGCAAATGTACTGATTTACACTCTCAGCAGGATATGAGAATTCTCTGTTGTTTAATCTATGCCAAAACTGGGAATTGTCAGACTTTGAATTTTTGTCCCTCTGGTGATTATAAAATGGTACGTGTTCAAGAATTTATTGAACACCTGTTACATGCTAGACACTAGGAATAAAATACTGAGAATCCTGCAGTAAACAAACTGAAGGCTCTGCCTTCATGAAATTTACATTCTAGTGCAGTAGACTATCAATAAAAAATAATCTTACACATATGCACGTTTACAAAAATATTTGTCCAAGCATGCTCATTGCAGCATTGTTTGTAATAAGAAGTAACTGAAACAACTGCAGTGTCCTTCATTAGAGGATGTGTTAAATAAAGCACAATGTCCTATCCACTTAATAGAAACTATGCATGTAAAATGAATGAGGTAGGTCCATGTATAGTGGCATGGAAAATTATTCAAAATATATTGTAAGTAAAAAGAACAAGTTTCCTAACCATCTGAGAGCATAAATCCTTTGTTAAAGATGAAAATGGGGCTTCCCTGGTGGCACAGTTGTTAAGAATCCGCCTGCCAATGCAGGGGACACGGGTTCGAGCCCTGGTCCAGGAAGATCCCACATTGCCACGGAGCAACTAAGCCCATGCGCCACGACTGCTGAGCCTGTGCTCTAGAGCCCGCGAGCCACAACTACTGAAGCCCTCAGGTGGGCTTAGAGCCTGGGCTCCGCCACAAGAGAAGCCACGGCAATGAGAAGCCTGCACACCACAACGAAGACCTAACACAGCCAAAAAATAAATCAATTAAATAAAATTTTTTTAAAAAGATGAAAATGACATGTGTATATTGTTGACTGAAAAAAAAAAATGCACAACTTGAGAGTTGTGAGTTAAATTTTATTTGGGGCCTAATAAGGACTGTAGTCCGGGACACAGCCTCTCAGATGGCTCTGAGGAACTGATCCCAAGAGGAAGGAGGGAGGTCAGTATCTATGTGATTTTAGTGACGGGGGATCAAATCAAGCACACATTTTGGCAGAAGGTTGCTGCTTGTCACCAGAAGGCTGCTGTTAGTCACGAGGAACAGATGTCTCTGTTAATGATTTTAGTGCTTTTCTAGGTATGAGAAGATGCAAGAAATTGGGCTCATAAAATCTTCTTCTAAAAATATCTGACTATCTGAAGGCCTGTTCTGCCAGGTTTTCCCAGAGCACAGAGTGTCTCCTTCCTGATCTCTGCCCTGAAATTCTTTCAGAGTGTGTTGAAGATCAGTGACTACTGAGGCTAGTGACCTCATTCTTGTAGAACCAGATGGTGAGTGACAATTTTAATTGGCAGTATGCATACAAAATGTTGGAAGAATATATGACAAATCTTAATTTTAAAAAAGAGCTGTAACAAAACCTAAAAGAATAATGTGAACTGTTGGTGGGGTGTGCACGTAGGAGATAAATTGAATACACTGCTGTGTTCACATGCTTTATTGTTGCTCTTTCAACACTGTGTCCAAACCGGTTCCCTTCTTTCACCGGCCGTTTTAGAGGCTCCTCTGTGGCTGGATGTAGCAAACTGCTATCTAGTTTCCTTTCCTCTGGATGCAGAGGTGCTTTGGGCACTGCAGGTGGTAGCTCAGTGCTGGGCTCACTTCCTAGTGCGGCCCCTGCTTCCTCTCAAATCCCCGTTGTCCGTGTGTTCTGCATCACTCCCTGTGTTTATCTGCTCTCTGATACAAGTAATAATGAGATACTGTGCTTCCCACCATCCGTTAATTTTAGAATGAAAAAATGGGCCTAGAATCTGGCACTTTACTCTCTTTCACTTGATGAATTGAGAATTTGACTATGCAGAGCTGTCAGATAACTGGTAGGTGGCTTGAGGTCACTAGGTCTCAGCTTTAGGACGTTCACTCCCACATACAGTGTTCAGCACTCACCCAGGCTAGACAGCTAGGCAGTAGCTTTTGAGCTTGAACACCTATGTGTGAACAAATTCTTTAGCACCCGAGTCACACTTCATCCCCTTGGGAGCAGTTCGGGGTCAGCTAGAGCCCCAGAAAAGACAGACCCTCACCAGCATGACTGGAGGGCTGGGGGCAGGCTGGCCTATGCAGTGTGCTTAGAAGGTAGCTCCTCACTAGCTGCCATCCTCGGCTTCTCTTATTTTCTCTTTGTCACCAGGTCTCAGCAATTTACAGAACTCTCCCTCCTTTCCTTCCTTCCACCTGTCATCTTTGCTTCTGAATAAGAACCATTTGTGTAACACCAATACTTACCTTAAGAAAGACATGCATTATGTGGTTGTAACCTGATGCTTTCAGATGAGATCGGGCGC